TATAATTATATATATATATATATATATATATATAATATAGATCTATCTATAATAGATATATATTATATATATAATATATATATCATATATATATCATATATATATCTATAGTGTATATATATTCATATATCTATATATATATATATATATATATATATATCATATATATTAGATATAGGTTAATTATATATCATATATATATATATCTTATATATATATCATACTATAGTATGTATATCTATATATATATATCATATATATATATATGTATATATATCTCATATATCTATCTATCTGCATCATCATATATTATCATATATATCTATATCATATATCTAGAGAATGTATATATATTCATATATATCATATATAATATATCTATATATCTAGCATCTATATATATATATATAGAATATATATATAATCATATATATCTATATATATATTATATATAATATCTCATTATATATATATGTATATGTTTTTCTATTCATTATATATATATATATATATATATATCATATATAATAGATATATATATCTAATACTACTATATATATATCTATATTATCTATACTATATATCTATATATCCTATAAGTCTCTATATATATATATATATATATACTCTATCTATATATCATCTCTCTCATATATATCATCTATATATATATAATATAGTCTCTAGTAGCATATATGCTATATCCATATTAATTATATCTATCATATATAATATATATCTCATATTATATCTTATATATTAATATCCTATATTAATATATATTATATTATATATATTATATATATATCTATTCTATCTATATCTTAGTTCTATCCTCATATTATATCATCTAGCATATCTATACTCTCTCTATAATATATAACTATGCTCATTATCTATATAATATACTATCATATATATATATATCATATCTAATATCATCTATCTATATATATGATATTCAATATATCTCTAGACATATATATATAGTATCTATCTCAATATATCATCTATTATATTATATTCATTATACATATCATACTATATATCTATATATATAGTATCTATCTTCATATATATATATATCTCTATCTATCTATCTCTTCGCTATATACTATATATATCTATATAATACTACTCTCCCTACTATATTATATATATATATATATCTATATATATCTACTATCAGATTCATTATCATATAGATATCATCTCTCTATCTCTATATCCTTCTATTATATCATATATATCTATCTCTAGACTATCTATATATATCTATCATATATATCATAGATCTCTATATATATATTATTATATTATCATATATAGATACACATATAGATTCATATCTATAATATATATCTATCTTCTATATCTATACAGTATTATATGATATATATATCTAGTATCTAATAGATATATATCTATATCATATATATTTACTCTCTATATGATTATCTCTACTGATACATCCTATATATATATATATATATCAATATCCATATATATCTATATATAGACTATATACTCTCTCAATATATATATATATAGATAGATATAATATATCTATATTACATATCTATTAAATATATGTATATATATATCATCTATATATATATTATATATCTATCCTATATACCTCTATATCTATCTATATCATATATATATTATTATCTCTCTATATATATATATATCTCTATATCTATCTCTCATATAGATATCATCTATATACTATATATATCTCTCTCTCTATTATCTATTCTCTCATATATATATATATATCCTATATCTATACTATTAATATATATCTATCTATATTACTCTATCTCATATATATTATCTATATATCTATCATATATAGATTCATATATATATATATATCTATTCAATATACCTCTTATTATATATAAATATATCTTCATATATATATATATATATATATCTATATATTATCTAATATATATATCCTCTATTTCAATATATATATATATATCATATATATATATATAATATATATATATATCATATATATATCTATATATATTATTAATATCATATATATATATTATATAATATATATATCATTATATATCTATATCGTCTATATATCTATATCATATATATATATATATAAGATATATATTTTATATCATATATATTATATATATATTATGATATATATATCGCTATATATATATATATATATTTATATATATTATCTATCATCTATATATATATATCTAATTATATATATATCCTATATATTATATATATAGAGATATCTATTATATCATATATTATATATATATATATATATATATATCATATATGATATATATATATATATATTAGATATATCATATATATATCATATATATATATATATCTATATATATATAGTATATATCCTATCATTATATATATCAATATATATATATATCTATCTACAATATATATATCATATATATATATATCGCTATATCATATATCTATATATATCTATATATATATCATACTATAAAATCTATATCGATATTATATATTTCATAAAACAAAAATAAAAATTTAATTTTAAAATCATATATATATATATATAATAATATATATATATCATATATATCTATATATTATATATATATAATATCATATATATATATATATATATATCAATATTATATTATATAGATATATATAATATAATATATATAGATATATATATCCTATATAG